ACAGCCCCCCGCCCGGTGCATGCTCCGACCTGCGAGCAGGAGTTGGAGGGAGTTGGCTGCGTGCCCTTCCCCTTACGTTCAGTGCCTCGCGCAAGAGAACTCTTCGAGTTTTTGAGGTTTGGGGTTAGGGGTTTAGGCTCTAGGGTTGAGGGGTTGCGGGTCTGCCGGTTTAGAGGTTTGGGCTTTAGGGTATAGGGGCTGAGGGCTTCAGGGGTTAACCCTGACAAGGCCACCCTCAGTAGCAGGCAGCCACCCTGAACGCGAACCCTACCAAACTTCGCGAAAGCATTTTGGGTTTATGGTGTGCGCCGGGTGTGCGCGGGGTGTGCGCGGGGTGTGCGCGGGGTGTGCGCGGGGTGTGCGCGGGGTGTGCGCATGGTGTGCGCGGGGTGTGCGCGGAGTGTGCGCATGGTGTGCGCGGAGTGTGCGCATGGTGTGCGCGGAGTGCGCGCATGGTGTGCGCGGAGTGTGGGTGTGCGCGGGGTGCGCGCATGGTGTGCGCGGGGTGTGCGCGGGGTCTGCGCGGGGTGTGCGCGGGGTGTGCGCGGAGTGTGGGTGTGCGCGGGGTGTGCGCATGGTGTGCGCGGGGTGTGCGCGGGGTGTGCGCGGGGTGTGCGCGGGGTGTGCGCGGGGTGTGCGTGGGGTGTGCGCGGGGTGTGCGCGGGGTGTGCACGGGGTGTGCGCATGGTGTGCGCGGGGTGTGCGCGGAGTGTGGGTATAGATGTATAAACCTAAACCCCTAAACCCCTAAACCCCTAAACCCCTAAACCCCTAAACCCCAAACCCTAAAGCTCGCCTTCTGTGGCTTGCAGCTGCCCTCCCTACACTATACCTAGGCCCAAGAATGGCCAAGGAATAAACAGGGCGCCCTTTCTGGTTTAAAGGGGCTTATGGGGGAACTCAAGCCCTAAAAACACGGAATCAGGGCCTACTCTGGGTCCTAGATGACGAGACCCCTAGTTCACGTGTAACATGTAGACGAATCATTAGTAGATGGTTAAGCTCTTTGAGGTAAAGTGAACCAACACCGCTTCACCCGCAACCCCTGCCGCCTGGCGCTTCTGGTGTTCCGGGCGCCTCCTGTCGGTGCAGGGTTAATGTCTCTACAAAAAATACCTGGCCCCACTCCCTCCCCCTCCCCCTCCCCTCCCCCCCTCAAGCGCTTTCTTAGAACATCAGCCTGTCTGAGGTACTGAGGGCCCTCCACAATCCCTTCAAGGGCATATCTGGGGTCCTAATTCCCTCATTCCCTAAAGGCCCTAAAGGCCCTAAACCCTAAACCTAACCCTAAACCCTAAACCCTAAACCCTAAACCCTAAACCCTAAACCCTAAACCCTAAACCCTAAACCCTACGAAGAACCAGCCAGAAGAATGCAGCCCATGGCCTGGGCTCTCAGAGCGCGCCTTGACGCTCGGCGAAGAGGCTGGGGCCTAACATCTGCTTGCATAAAGGCTTTTCAAGCATTTCCTACTTCGAGATATAATGTGATGAACCGCAATCCCTGCACAGCCTCCTTGGCAGGGTGTATGATGCTCCCGAAAATGCTCCGTGATGGCTCGGAGGCAGTGACCTGCAGCAGCAGGGTTTAGGGTTTAGGGTTTAGGCTTTAGTGTTTAGGGTTCCCCCAAAAAAACAACCATGAGCGTGCCTCCTAAGATCTTCAAAAGCCCGGTGGGCGTGGTTGCGAGTTCCAGGACGTTAATGGCTTACATCTGGGTGTTGAGAGTTTAGGGCTCTTGGGATTCTGTAGCGATTACATCAGAGTTCACGGCTCACAGGTGCACTTTTCAGGTACATGCCCGCACCAGGAGCAAACTCCACATCCTTCTAGCGTGCCTCTACAGGCTCGAAACCCTAAACTCTCTTTCAGTGCTCGCGGTGTGCGCAGGGTGTGCGCGGGGTGTGCGCGGGGTGTGCGCGGGGTGTGCGCGGGGTGTGCGCGGGGTGTGCGCGGGGTGTGCGCGGGGTGTGCGCGGGTTGTGCGCGGGGTGTGCGCAGAGTGTGGGTGTGCGCGGGCCCTAAACCCTAGCGGTGGTGAGCTAAACCCTGAACCCTAAACCTTTCAGTGCTCGCGGTGTGCGCAGGGTGTGCGCGGGGTGTGCGCGGGGTGTGCGCGGGGTGTGCGCGGGGTGTGCGCGGGGTGTGCGCGGGGTGTGCGCGGGGTGTGCGCGGGGTGTGCGCGGGGTGTGCGCGGGTTGTGCGCGGGGTGTGCGCAGAGTGTGGGTGTGCGCGGGCCCTAAACCCTAGCGGTGGTGAGCTAAACCCTGAACCCTAAACCCTGAATCGCAAGACAGGTCCGAGGAGCTGTAGCTCAGCTGCTGGCGCCGATCAGCAGGGCACCATGCGATTAGCTGAGTGCACCTAAACCCTAATGGCCATGTTGGGGGGGGGGAGGGGTAGCATCGTGCTGATAGGATCGTGTGAGCAAAGTCGTGAGGGGCAGCTGCTGATAGGATCGTGTGAGCAAAGTCGTGAGGGGCAGCTGCTGATAGGATCGTGTGAGCAAAGTCGTGAGGGGCAGCTGCTGATAGGATCGTGTGAGCAAAGTCGTGAGGGGCAGCTGCTGATAGGATCGTGTGAGCAAAGTCGTGAGGGGCAGCTGCTGATAGGATCGTGTGAGCAAAGTCGTGAGGGGCAGCTGCTGATAGGAGCGCAGAAGCAAGCGGCGTAATTGTGCGTTTCTAGGTCGTAACTAACAGGTAAACGCCGTAACTGAGCAGGAGCGCAGAAGCAAGCGGCGTAACTGTGCGTTTCTAGGTCGTAACTAACAGGTAAACGCCGTAACTGAGCACGCTACCGATATTGTGGGATGGATATAAAATTGATATCTACGACCAATTGATATGAGAATATCCCAAATAAGATCCTTTTAATATATTGAGATATGGATATCAACGTATATCGCCAAATCATTCCATTTTAGAAGGGGGGAATAGGGAAGAACCCGTATATCAGGATTTGTTATAGCTCGCCGAAGAATCCAACCCAGATTTGGAAAATTGGCATATTGGAGACGTATGGAATCGAAAGATTCATGTCGTTTTCTGGAGGACAGACGAATTGATGGATAATCTCTATCTTCATTGAGCTTGGAGTGGAGATTAAGAATTATGATTCCTTATCATTCAAATAGAAAGAATAGAGCCATAGAATTTAATAAATCATTGATCATGGATTGGAATGATAGGGAATGGGGGGGAATTCTAGGCAATGGATATAGATGGGAAATGATGGGGAATGATGGAGAAGGATGGTGAATGATGGAGATGATGGAAATGGAGTGAAATGAACGAAGTACACGAAATGACATATTACGAATATTGTGTGCGTGTATACGCAGAATCATTATAGATTCTTTGTATATATAACCCAGAAATTTCGATTCCTCCCACTCCGCCCAAATTAGCGAATAGAGATGACCTACCGCCGCCTGCCGACGCCTACGCAAAAAGAGCGAGTGTCCTTTCAATCCGTTCATTTTGCGAGCACGTCAGATAAAGAAAATAGGAAAAATTGGCGAATTGATGGGTATGATGGGACATTGGAATGGTGGGAATGGTGAGTTGTTAGATGAAAGTTGGGTGGAAATGTTGGGAAATGTTGGGTAGTGAGGTGGGTCGATGTAAGGTGGTGGATGAGGAATGAGGACGTGTAATGGTGGATCATCTCTGAGGAATGATAGAAATTGATGAATTATGGGAGAATAATAGAATTGGATGATATATGGAGGATGATATTGATAGATAAAGAAAGAATGGAGGAAATGATAGAAATGATCAGAATGGTAAAGAATATCTAAAAGAAATAATATGAGAACATTTTATATGGAGAATCAAAATTATGAGAATATATAATTCAATTCCAAAAATAATGAACTAGAGAATTTCATAGATATTCGTCGTAATATTCGTATATAATCGATTATTAATCATTGAATAATATAGAAAAGATTTTCCAATTATTTCAATATTCCGATATCTCTTATTGAAAAAACATCATCAATCTCGTGAATAATCGATGTATATCAAAATATTATCATAATCCTCGAAAAATGGAATGGAAACTAAACGACTTCACATATTCTTCGATCTATGGCAAATGTGATGCACGAAATTCATAAGCTTGTAAGTAGAACCATGAGATTTTATACAAAGTTAGGTTCTCCCACCTTGATCTTTATTTCTGAATTATGTATTATGATACGAGAGTCATTGAGTAGATCAGATATGCTGAACTCACCATCCTTCATACCTTCTTTGTGGCTCCGGCAATGGTCCTAATTTTGGACGGATTAAGAGTAGTTAAGGCATGGATGAATGTGCTCACACATCGCGTTAGCCAGGTCAGGGTTGCAGCCTTCTCGGCTCTAATTCCCAAATCCTAAATCCCTACGTCGGTCTAGAGTTTAGAATCTAGGGCTTAATAATTCGGAATGGTCTCAGTCAACTGCGGTACCAATTGGATCCCAATCTATGGGGAGGATCCTTTAGGATTTAGGGTTTCCAGAAATCCGTGATTGTTGAAGAACGGCAGTGGCCAATCAATGAGGAACTCTCCTTTTGAAGAGAATCATGTGGATGGACAGTTTGAAAGGACCCATTACACACAGCTCTACGGTTTAGAGTTTGTTGCTATAGGGTTTTACAGACACCGCTTACAGCATTCCTGATTCCTCCAAGGCTGCACTCGCACCAAGCTTTTTCTCCGAAGTCTCCGGGGAAAGAACACTGGAGGAAAACGACGAGCTTGCATTGGCTTGCCGTCTCCACAACTCAGGCGGCAGCAGGTTGCGTGCTTGGCAGGGTGAGATGCGGCAGCTTGGACTTGGGGAACTCGTTCTGATCTCGTTTTTGAGTTCACTATTTCACTATTTCCGCCAAGACTCGCAACCAACAAGCCTTTTCTATCCGCTGGATCTGCCCACTGCGAGCGAGCAGACCGCGAGTACGCAGACCGCGAGTAAGCAATGCATTGGAAAACATGCAAAAACACACAATTTCAGTTGTCTTCATTAGACACCGTCGGGCCCAGTAGTGGGCCACACTCCCGCTTTGGGGCATCAAAAACGGGAGCGCGGTAGATATCATTGCATGCGAAACTCTCATCTCCATCTGAGTGCCCTTCTGACATCTCTGCGGCAAATTCGGCCTTTTGCAGCTCCGTTCCTTTGGCAGTCGTATTGAAATGGAACTTCTTGTTAAAGAAACACATGACCAAACAATACCAGGTTACCAAGGTGAAGAAGATGGTATTGCTCAAAGGCCCCAAGAACGGCGATGACAGCAGAAGAAATGCTCTTCTGCAAGGCGAGACAGTCTTGACATAGTCGGGGTGGGTTGCAAGTACGTGGTGCCTCAGAACGTGGTCTTGCAAAACGGACACTCCCGTGGCCATGAGGTAACTTGCAAGCACCAAGAGGACAAGACAATGCAACGCCTCGGTCTCAAGTTCGCCAAGGATTGCCACCATCTCTGGCAGAAGTGGTAGCCAAATCCAGCCACCAGTCAAGTTGCCCAAGGTAAACTTCGCGATGAGCCTGAAACTCGGCCAAACACTGAAGATATCAATGTTTGCTTCAGTAAGCATAGCTATTCCCCAGCTAACCACAGTGACTCCCCAATGCCATCTCCTCATCTGCTTGAAGCGCGATGGAATGTCTGATGGAATACCGACACTATTCACACACCACACCACCTTGCTCACCGTAGCTCCACCAGCCAGGACACCCTTGTAAAACTGCATGTAGTCCTCGGAAATCTCATCCAGTGGCGCCCATCCCCCCTGCTCCTCAATGAAGCCCAGACACAGGCTTTGAATGGCTAATGCGGGATTTCCTTGTGTCCACCTCGCTGGATTGAAACAGTTCAGATATGCAAGGTGCAGGGAGTGGGCGTGGACGAACAGACTTGTGTCTGGTGACAGTCTGGTTTCCACGGTTGGGGCGTGGTAGATGTGCCGGCGACCATCTATTTGGTGATGCAAAGTCCATTCAACCAGCTGTAAGTAGTTGGGCGCCAGCGTGCAGTCGCTATCAACTTTTGTCACCATGATCCGGAATTTGTCCTCTTCCTCTGGAAAGAGCTTGGAGATGTACCGAACTGCAGAGCCCATGTTGGAACCGGGCCCCACCGCCTCGCCGGCAGCAAGCTCGTGCACGTTCAACACAAATCCTGCCGGGAAGAGGAACTTGTATTCCCGCTCGAGCTCTTGGAACGCTTCCAGGTGCTTCGGGTCACGAGCTTCACAAGCGATGACGACCATGACTCGGGCTTTCGGCACCGTCTGATGTAGAATGGAGTCCAGAGTTTGGCTTAGCTCCTCAAACGGCTCCTTGTACCTCAGGACAACCACACAGTGTAGAAAGCCCTCTCGCTCCAGTTCGACATGTCTCATCTGCTGAACTCGGTGTGCTGTGAAAAGCACTGGCAGGACTTTTGTCAAGGGGGCGGCAAAGAAGCCCACAAGCATCGAAGCTCGTGCCCACCACAGGAATGCATAGTCGGCATGCAAAAGCAGCTGCACAAAACCGTTGATTAGGCTGGCTGCATAAGGTGCGACCAATACCAAGAAGATCTTCGCAGTCAGGACCTGCGCAACGGTAAGAGCCACACAGCAAGGCAGTAGGAGTGTGTAGTGCTTATGGCCAGCTCGGGAAGGGAGCAACCGTGGCATCCCGACCGCAATCTTCAACAGACCAGGGCCATAGGTGAAACACACGTATGCGGCGAGGGAAAACAAACAGCAGTAGTCTGCAAGTAAAACCCACCACATGGCAACGGGCACCCTCGAGATCATCACCTGCACTTGGGCAGCCGCAACCTCGAGAGTTGTCTCCGCCATGAAGCTGGTTGCGCCGCCCTTTCAAGCAGCACCTGCTGACACCGCACACGTCTAGCTGGAGCCAAAAGGCCGCGCGAAGCGGCCACTTCATACAACGGGACAGGCAGAATGCAGGAGTTCACGAATGCAGGAGTTCACGAATGCAGGAGTTCACGAATCAAGCATTCTTTCTCAACCTATGGATTCTTGCCCAATGGGTTTCGGCTGAAACACAAGGATCTCGGCAGGCCTTCTAACGTGACCAGAGTCAGCCCTGCGTGTTTAAGGGTCCAGAACATTGTCTTGTACTGCGACCTGAACATTGTAGAGGACATGTTGGTACATCTTCGTACACAGCAAGCTAGTCTAACTGAACGAGATCTGTTTGACTTGGAAAAACTTGCGCAAAAAAAATCATACCAAACTCCACCCCATGTTGCCGAGTGAAAACAATGTCACGGCCAAGATATGGTTGCGCCCCGGCGAGCCCCCCGTCCCTCCCCCCCACCCTACGAAGGTACCTACGGAAGGGATACCAGTGTCCTGGAAAATTGCAAGTGGGCTACACAATAACTGGGATTTCCATTTGCGAGACAGTGGATCGCACTCTTTTGCATCCTACTTGCGGGATACTGCAATGGCTTTTCAAAATTCAAACTGTCTCACTGTGCATGGATCTTAATCGCCCACCCGGCACAGTTTTTGCCTTCCGACAAGGTCAATGGCGCAGAGTTTTGGACTGTTTTTCAGATGATCTTCGCTTTGTGCCAACCCCATGCGGTGCTTCGGCGGGCAGTAAAGGCCCCAACTGTCGTCAGAAAGATGTGCCTGCAAAAGAAGGTCTTGCAACAGGTTCCCTTGGGAGACAAGGATATTTGGCTGCGCACTGCGAACCCAGCGTCCAGAAAGCGTACATTGTCTACATCTTCCAAAAACTTACGCAATTTTCGAGGCCAATGTCTCAGTTGCCACCTCTGCTTCGTCCACTCCGTCCTCTTCCTGAAGCTTCGGCAAAGTGAGCTGCTGATGCAATGGCCCAGGAAAGGCGCATTGGACTAGCAGGTGAGTCCAAGCACCTCTGCAGTTTCGCTTTTGAAACAACCCACCCTACCTCCCCTTTGCGATTGGACAGGAGGCATCGAGGGTGTGGTCAACTTTGTTTCCATTCGTGTTCCAGTCGCTTCTGTTGGGCCAAAACCAAGAAAGACCGCTGAAGGTCTAGCTCCGCTGTAGAGGTTCCTCCTGGTAATGTTTTCATAGCGCTCGTATGGTACATGGTGGTCACAGGATCTCCTTGTAGATCCAATGTGCTACTGACTAAATTTTCGTCCTGCTGTTTTCGCACACGTGTAATCTCCGAACTTGCATACATGTTTACATGATGGGTAGAATGGTGTTGCATTTTGCTTGGCCAGCCCCCTAGAGCCGCTTGAGGAACCACATCCATTCGGGTCACCAGACGAGACGACGTTGCCCACTCCGGCTCCGACGTTTCACAGGTTTCACGACCGCAGTAGGACACGCGGACCCTCACTGCCTCATCCCGACGACGCAGAGGATTCTGACACCAATGCATCTCGGTCCGGACCAAGGACAGTCGGAGACGTACTTCTCTCTGGAGGAAACTGCTGACACATTGCCAGGGGATCGAATCTAGTAGGTGGGCTCCCCACGTACCAAGGGACACAATCGGCGTGCCTCAATTGCATCTCAAGGCAATACGGCGAAGCGGGGACACTCCATCCTCGAATGCACTTCTTACGGACGTTGGTTTCCCAAGTACGCGACTGACGGTGGACGACTTGCAGGGTCTGCTTCCAGCCTGCAACTTCGGCGTGAGAGCCGCAAACTGCAACCAGGCACCGCTGCACTGGCAGATCGCTTTGGAAGAGCCCCGTTTTGGCGATCCTTCGATCGAATGCGACCAACTTGGGACAAAAGAGGGAGGAAAGAAGGAAACATACGAAGCAAAAAGAATAAAACCAGGGCGCAGAAACACAAAGAGGACGAAGCAAGGCAACGAAAAGGAAACGAGAAATCAGCAGCCGTCAGGAATTACATTCACAGAGTATCGCGTGATAAGCCGTGATTCCAAGGGATCCTCACTAGTGGAGAACCCAACAATTTCAGAGCAGACCGGAAGGTGGGAAAGTCCCACTAAGGTCACTGAGATTTGCAGAAAAAGAGATGGAAGAAAGAACCAAGAGCGCGAAGATAACAGAACAGGCGAAAAAAAGATGAGTTGAAGCAGCAAGATTGATTGGAATCAGCAAGATTGGAGCCAAGATGATTTGGGATGACGGCTACGACGACGGCTACTACCAGTGCTACTAGTACCCCAAAAGGAAAGGAAAAAGAAGGTGGAGAAGGAAAGTAAGGCTGGTAAGGAGAGAGAACAATAGCTGCGGCTCTCCATACACCTTTCGAAATGTGGATTGGAGGTCCTGTGTGTGCACGTCTCTCATTCTCGGGCGCCCTTGGAGAAGACTTGACGTCTTCTACACCGGACCAATCCTCACATCCATCGAAGAGCGATGAACTTTCGCGGAAATGTGCGCAATCAAACAGTGACCATGCTGTCCAAGCACCTTGGTGCTCACCATGGAAAAATGATGCCGAACTTTCGCGGTCTGACCGTGGGAATCACATGCGCAACGACCGTTCATGTCCGTACGGCATGGGGCGCAGTGAAATAGCAAGCCTTCTGTCGAGCTGTGCACCAGGGCGTGCGACGTAGCAAGCCTGAAGTTGGAGTTGACAGTCTTTGCCTGAGCTGGCCTGAAAAACTGCCAAAAGTTGAAAATCACACGCTGCGCCTGTGAAATTCTCGCTGCGCCTGCGCAATTCTTTGCCCGCCTTGAGGCTGCCCCTGGGCCGCCGCCGCCGCCGCCGCCGCCGCTGCTGCTGCTGCTGCTGCCGCTGCTGCTGCTGCTGCCGCCGCCGCTCCTGCTGCTGCTGCTAAAAATACTCCCACTCCTACTCCGCACACCAATGGGAAGTGGGATTGACAGAACTTACCACAAGACCGCTAGAACAGGACAGCTGGTGGATGCCTAGGCCTAGAACTCTCTCTCTGGCGACACCCCAACCAGAGGAAGTGGCTGGTGGTCGGACCTACTTGACATGCCGCAGCTTGATAAGTAAGAAAAGCAGTACCTACTCAGTTTCACCCAACATCCGAAGGCAGCGCTAAAAAAGCAGTAGTAGTAGCAGCAGTAGTAGTAGTAGTAGTAGTAGTAGTAGTAGTAGTAGTAGTAGTAGTAGTAGTAGTAGTAATAGTAGTAGTAGTAGTAGTAGTAGTAGTTGTTGTTGTCGTAGTCGTAGTCGTAGTAGTCGTAGTCGTAGTCGTAGTGCATGGCAAAAGCATCCGCTCCTAGTAGTAGTAGTAGTAGTAGTAGTAGTAGTAGTAGTAGTAGTAGTAGTAGTAGTAGTAGTAGTAGTAGTAGTAGTAGTAGTAGTAGTAGTTAGTAGTAGTTAGTAGTAGTACTAATAGTAGTAGTAGTAGTAGTAGTAGTAGTAGTAGTAGTAGTAGTAGTAGTAGTAGTAGTAGTAGTAGTAGTAGTAGTAGTAGTAGTAGTAGTAGTAGTAGTAGTAGTAGTAGTAGTAGTAGTAGTAGTAGTAGTAGTAGTAGTAGTAGTAGTAGTAGTAGTAGTAGTAGTAGTAGTAGTAGTAGTAGTAGTAGTAGTAGTAGTAGTAGTAGTAGTAGTAGTAGTAGTAGTAGTAGTAGTAGTAGTAGTAGTAGTAGTAGTAGTAGTAGTAGTAGTAGTAGTAGTAGTAGTAGTAGTAGTAGTAGTAGTAGTAGTAGTAGTAGTAGTAGTAGTAGTTAGTAGTAGTAGTAGTAGTAGTAGTAGTAGTAGTAGTAGTAGTAGTAGTAGTAGTAGTAGTAGTAGTAGTAGTAGTAGTAATAGTAGTAGTAGTAGTAGTAGTAGTAGTAGTAGTAGTAGTAGTAGTAATAGTAGTAGTAGTAGTAGTAGTAGTAGTAGTAATAGTAGTAGTAGTAAAAATAGTAAAAAATAATAAAAGTAGTAGTAGTAGTAGTAGTAGAAGTAGTAGTAGTACTACTAGTAGTAGTAATAATAATAGTAATAATTGTAGTAATAGTAGTAGTCGAAGTAGTAGTGGTAATTATTGTTCTTGTACGGATGCCCAAGCGGCGCGGAACTCAAGGCGTCCGTGCTGCGCAGCTCGAACCAGCCGAACGACATTTTTTGGAAGCTACCTGGACGCGCAACGAGGGAGTGGACGTTTAGCCAAAAGGCCCTGCAGGTGGTAGATGACCAATTGGGTCGAGAGGGTCGAGAGGTTGGAGGCGTCGAGCAGCTGAGGGTCTGGAGGGTCGAGAGGGTTGAGAGGGCCGAGAAGGGTCCGGGCTGGAGGGTTAGTCTAGAGGGTCAGATCTGCTGGGTCTAGGGTCTGGAAGGTCAGAAGGTTCCGGTCTCAGGTTAACTGGAGGGGTCTTGGATCTTGGATCTGGGGTCTAGGTGCCGGACTGGGCAAAATGAACTGATGGTTCTGCTCCACGAGCAGGACTTGCCAAGATTTGGGCGGATTGCGGCGGGCCTTGAGAAGGTAAAGGACCTTGCTTGCTGTGCGACATCAAGACCTCTCTGAGCTGCAGGTTGTCACCTTGAGCAGTTTTCTGTTTTACCAGCAGAATCTTTAAAAAATCTTGCAAGAGTTAGTTTCTTGCATTGGGTCATTCAAATTTTCTGTTGGGAAAAAAAAACAAGCATGGCCTTCAAGATGTAAATTCCTGCAACGACACGTTCCCAATTAGAAGAATTGTTCATTTTAAGTCTTCGAAGGCAGAGACGACGGCTTTTTTTGCATGTCCTTTAAAGCAGCAAGTTTCCACAACGGTGCTTCTGGATTGTCAAAGTTACAATTGCTTTAATTGAACTTTCTGCGTGGTTGCACTTGGGCACACAGCCATGGACGGCGAACAAGACAGATCTCCATGTGGAAGAAGCTGCAACAGCTTGATGGCCCATCATCGCTGCGCTCAGGCAAAAAGCATAAGT